GAACAGTGTCTACCACTCTATGTTGCCTTCATAGACCTGACAAAAGCATTTGACCTTGTCAGCCGTGATGGCCTGTTTAAGATCCTTGCAAAGATTGGCTGTCCACCTACCTTACTCAGCGTTATTAAGTCCTTCCATGATGATATGAAAGGCACAGTGGTTTTCGATGGATCAACATCCAATCCCTTCGAAATACGCAGTGGTGTTAAGCAAGSCTGCGTCCTTGCTCCTACTCTCTTTGGGATCTTCTTTTCCATCTTGCTGAAGCAGGCATTCGGCTCTTCCACTGAAGGTATTTACCTCCGTACCCGGTCTGACGGGAATCTTTTCAATCTCWCCAGACTAAGAGCCAAAACCAAGATTCGTATGGTATGCCTACGAGACTTTCTCTTCGCTGATGATGCTGCCATCACAACCCACTCAGCTAGTGATCTACAAAGGCTTATCGATAAATTCAGCTCAGCCTGCACAGATTTTGGCCTCACTATTAGTCTGAAGAAAACCCAAGTCATGGGACAAAATACAGACTCTCAGCCAAACATTCCAATTGCCGACTACACACTTGAGGTTGTCCATTACTTTGTCTACCTGGGCTCTACTATCTCTGATACTCTTTCCCTTGACACAGAGATCTATCGACGCATTGGAAAAGCGGCCACCACTATGTCCCGACTTACCAAAAGGGTATGGAGAAACAGAAAGTTAACTGAGCACACCAAGATACAAGTGTACAAAGCATGTGTGATGAGCACCCTCCTATATGGGAGTGAGTCATGGACTTTACACTCTTATCAAGAACGAAGGATAAACAACTTCCACATGCGTTGCCTCAGGCGCATTCTTGGAATCACCTCGCAGGACAAAGTGTCAAATAACATCGTCCTGGAAAGAGCTAGTATCTTAAGTATTTTTGCCTTTTTAAAGCATAGACGTATACGTTGGATTGGGCATATGATACGTATGGACGATGGGAGAATCCCAAAAGACATTCTMTACGGAGAGCTCATCGAGGGAAAACGTCCAATTGGCAGACCAAAGCTACGATTCAAAGATATTTGCAAGCGTGACTTAAAATCACTCCGCATCGACCTAGGCAAATGGGAATCCATCGCTGCTGATCGAACATGCTGGAAGCACTCAGTGAACGAGGCCATCTCGCACTTCGAGACTTCTCTCAGACAGCAGCGTGATGAGAAAAGACTGCAAAGAAAACACCGCAGCAAGATAACTCAACCATCTTCATCTAACTTCATCTGCCCCAAATGTCAAAAGGACTGCCATGCCTTCATTGGCCTAACAAGCCACACGAAACACTGTTTCTAGTGTACAGCCAAGGTCATTCGTGACTGGATGCCTACCTTTCATGTGTCCTGTCCCCCCCCCATAAATACACAAAGGGAACATAGACTTTTGGAAACCACATAGCTTGTCATGTCCATCAAGAGACATGGTGCTGTCTGGTCCCTGGAGTAAAGAAATGTGATACAATATCATGATTATGCAGAACATGATGAAACTCAAAATTAACTTTAGCTTCTACATGAAATTGTAAAATACCCATTTCATTAAAAAAATAACTTAATTAGCGGGCTAGCTGTGCTAGCCAGCTATAGTTTTACCTTTCGCACTCTGTCGGGTCGAAGTTTCCAGTCTCTCTCGAACCACAGGAAGCCATATCTATTAGTTTGCAGTCTCTCTCGAACTGAAAATTTTCTCAAGAATCCAAAATGGCGGGTACTTCGCCCATAACAGAGAAAAAAGTACTCAAAAACTATCAACAAGAAATACCAAAAGCTTTCTCATTGAAGAATTGAACTAGGATTTTGCATTTGTGAAATTTCAAGCTTGCTAGTTATCATTTTAAGACGATTTTGCATCGAAAATAGTCTCGCCTTCCTCACCAGTCCAGCTCGATGAGATTATTCAGTACAGCTTCAAAATGAAATCAGCTCAAATACTGGCTTTTTTACCACATTTATAGACAGCAAAAGGTATTCTTCTGTTTAATTGACAATGTTTTTATTGTTTAAATTCAAAGAAATTGCTTTAATATCATCGGGGTTTTTTATTAGTTAAAAATGACAAAGTACAAGTTTTGAAATTGAGCTTTGTTTTGCTTCAATTTTTAGATTTGTTTTGTACGAAAGAAAGGCTAATAAAAACAAAATTTAAAGAATGCACTCATGCCATCTAAAATGCATTGTTATGTAAATAATAATAGATGTGATATCGCTAACCAAGAAGTAAAGAGCTTCCATAAATATTTTTACAAAATACATTGCAAATGTAGGACAATCACTATAGCACAAAGATTATGGTTGATAGTTGATATAGCTTATGATAAGATTATAGCAGACAGTGAAGGTTAACGATAAGAATTGAACTGCAAAGAAAACTAAGGTATTCATCGGCATATTTTACTTTCATATATAGTTACGTCATAGTCACAATATTCATTGGAGATACAATTTTTATCTTGTATTGTGAATCTTTTGCTAAACTAGCCCGCATCACGCTTTACAAGCGTCTAGTTGTACTTACATTTGAGGTGAACACTCCGGTTCTTTTCGGACGCTTTGCCTTTCCAACACCCCCTCTGTCTTCAAGTCCCTGAGGGTTTACTTCTTTCATTACATCGTACACAACATTTCGATGAATTGAACTTCTCGCACCTTTTTGTGGAGAGCTCGATAGCCAAGAAGGGCACCTGGTCCTTCTATCTCGTTTTGTACGGCTTGTTTTACTTGGTCAATAGTCAAATCATAGTTCACAAACCTTATACTAAAGTGTTGTAAACGACGAGATAGAAAGCGCATACTCCAGGCGTACATTAGATACTGCATGGAAACCATGTCCAATATCTCCTTCTGTAAAGTTTTGCCGTACGTATTTTTCAAGATCTGATTTTAATTCTAAGTCACCTTCCCAATCCAGAAGTACATAACCAGAAGTGACTGTCCATCTCCCCAATAATATCGCCACCATCAGATGTCCCGATAATCTATTTTTAGACAACCAATCACAACGCGCGCACGTATTACACGGCACCTGATTGGTCCTTGTTGATCTACTTCAAGAGCGGACAAGAAAAAGGAAAATGTAGTCGATGGAGGCGAACGAAGTGAAGCTTTCATTACGAGAGAATTCTACACCTTTTGCTGAACAACCATTTCAGAATTTAGTAGAAAACATTTTTTACTATATGAGCAATGTAGCGAAGGCAGTTCAAGAGCAATATGGTCTCCGAAAAACAGGGGAAAAGTTCAGACAAAGATGAAGAAAATTTAAAACAGCGTGCAAAAAAAGTAGTCTAAAGTAGCTTTCTTACAGTCAAATAGAGTCGGACTTAGACAAAGCCAAAGGTTAAGCTATTTTCGACTTTTAACCTGAGATGGAAAAGCTGTAAATTTTCAAGTAGGCGGGGTTCTGAAATTCAAGTTAGTTATCGATATTTCTTTGACGACTTTTCTTGTTTGTGGCTTTTCAACTTCATCTTTTTGTAAACTTAAAATTTGACATGATTTCGTTATTAACTTTTGTACCTTTTCGCTAGTTTGTTTATTCTTCGCTTTTCTTTCAAAGGACAATTATWCCAMACTCCTTACGCAATGTTGAGTTCACAATATTCAATTTTAGTCAAACCTCATTTTGCTAAAAGAGTTTTTGATTGACTTTTTCTGACACAAGTTTTTCGCACTCGTCCGCTTATTCGGGCATCTTTAAGACTTATTTTTTTCCCTTTTTACAAAGCTATTTAAATCCTAAATTACTTTTACTACAATTCTTTGTATAGGTAAGGAGTTTTTTAATTCTATTGGAACAGATTTCTACTCAAAACGAGTTCAATCCTTGTCACAAAAACCACATTTGAATTTTTTGCATACATTTCTTCGCACGCCTTTTGTCTACATCTTTCTTCGTCTTTGTCTGAACTTTTCCCTTGATTTCGCAGACCATATTGCTCTTGAACTGCCTTCGCTACATTGCTCATATAGTAAAGTACGTTCTCTATCAAATTACTTAACATTTGGCTTTGTTTAAGTCCGACTCTATATGGCTGAAAGAAAGCTACTTTAGACTACTTTTTTTGCACGCTGTTTTACATTTTTCTTCATCTTTTTCTGAACTTTTCTCTTGTTTTTGCAGACTATATTGCTCTTGAACTTCCTTCGCTACACTGCTCATATAGTAAAGTATGTTTTCTATCGAATTCAAAAATGGTTGTTCAGTAAAAGGTGTAAAATTCTCGTAAATGCGAACTTCAATTCGTTCGCCTCCATCGACTACATAATTTCCCTTTCTTGCCCGCTCTTGAAGTAGATCAACAAGGACCAATCAGGTGCCGTGTAATATGTGCGCGCGTTGTGATTGGTTGTCTAAAAATAGATTATCGGGACATCTGATGGTGGCGATATTATTGGGGAGATGGACACTTCTGGTTATGTACTTCTGCCCAATCTCACTGTTCCGGATACGCGCCATTTTTAATTTCTATGCCTGCGATGCATTGTGGGCTATGGCACTTCCGTTCACTGAAAAATTCACTTCCGTTATTCATAATATGCTCTTACACAAAAACGTCACGGACATGCGCGACACGTTTCGAACCCCATGCGCCCAGCCGTCAGGGGAGAGAGTATCGCAGGCGCACGAAATCCCGACAGCTGGAGACTGAGCCTATGTCCAGCGCTGCTGACAAAGTTTTTGAAAAGAGTGATCAACACAGCAAAGATTGTTATACGGGAATGTGCCTTTACATAGTAGGTGGCTATGACTTTGTSGTGTGATTATCACTTTATCGGCGATGAATTTTCGATGAACTGGCTCAAATCCAAACTGAAGATGTGTAATTCAGCTCCATGTATAGTCAGCCCTATCATTCACAAGCATGCTATAAAACTGACAACTTATTATTAATAGTATAAATAGATCATATTGAATTTAAGTGTCCGCTTTACGGGAGATTGAAAACAATGGAAAACGTCACTTGGGAATCGCTACAAGTGTCMGCGTCCGCTTACGAGAAAGCCCTYTTTTTTTCTATTAAAATAGAAAGTATAAATACAKCATTTGTATGAGAGGGAAAACAGGTTTTGAAAAGCTGTCCGTAAAAGTAGAACTGTACGCTTATGGGAGCGTCCRTATGTAGRGAATCGACAGTATTTTATTGTTKTGCATGCATGCCATTATATTCAAAGAAAGTGGATTAAAGATTACTTTCAAATAAACTGGTTTAAAAATAGATTAGAGGATAGAGGATTTTGTTGTGTGCCAAGTTTATCGCGCGCGATGAAAAAAGAGAAACATCGAACCTAAACTTGAACAGAAATGTTGTGTGCCACAGTTTTTGTATCTTGTATTGAGCCGCCTTAAAATAATAATAATTTGAAAATCGTTTCAGCTCAGTCATTACTAGCTACTTTGGTATTTGTTTGGAGTTGTATTCATTGGACTGTGAAATAGTTGATGGGAGCAAACAGGCAAAAAGTGCTGAGAATCTTTTAAAAATCGCTGAATGTTGAAATAACTTCGTATACTTTCTTCGTATACTCCCTTCGCTCAAAGTTGTACTTTAGAGAGCGGTAGAGAGGATGTTCTTTTGAACTGACCTGAATTTTTTGGGGTGAGGGGGTGCATGTTTGGTGGAATCACATAAATAAAAACCCGCAAATTGAGACCTGCAGGCCGCAAATTGTGACTGAAAGCCCGCAAATTGTGCCTGTTACCCGCAAATTGTGCCTGTTGCCCACAAATTGTGTCAGCAGCCCGCATATTTTGACCCGTAGCCCGCAAATTGCGACCCGCGACCCGCAGCCCGCACGTTATGCAGACTCACTTACTTTGTCCAAGAATTGTAATTTGGATTAAAGTCTACTTTTTGATGAGCCAGACCATTCTGTAATTGCTTTGTCATCAATTCTTCTTCAATGACTATTCCAGTGTCAGGATCAATTAGGCTGCCATTAGATTGTACGTGAAAACCAAGGAACGTCATGGTAATTCGGTCTTGGTTGAAGAATATGTAAGGGTGAGCACTGAAATATATTTTGGAAATGATTATGTTGACCACCGTTTTGACCGTTCATCCTTTGAACTCAACAGAAGAAAATTTCTTAAAAAAAAAAGATCTAGAATCAAAGGTCTATAGTTTTACCTGCTTTCCCACCTTCGCCTGAGTTGCAGTGGTCTAATGTCTTCATCAATGTTGTTAGCAGAACAATCGCTTGGAATGTTATCCATTGATGATGTGGCAAAATCCTAAAATATACTTTTGGTTTACTAAAAGTTACTGGAGTTGTCATGAGGAACAAGGAAAGCAACAAATACCACGTTCTTGGAGTCTCATACATCCAATTAACCTGACATCTTTTCTTTAATTTACTACATTTACTACTAACATAGATTCCCCAATTAAGCATCCTGATGAATATACACTTTTATCGATCTCTTTTGCGCTGTATTAGCCTCAAAACCATGTAATACATTCTTTTATTCACTAACAGTCCGTGCAAATGCAAGAGATCCGTGAGTATAGAAGACAATGTAAATAGTTTGAAAATTTCACGAGTTTTATCTAAATTTCTGAATATTTTGCACACGATTGAGGCTGACACAGCGTAAAAGAGATCGCGAAACTCAACTATTGGTTATATCTCTCCTTACCCTTGACATAGTAATCATAAATCTAACAACAAATGACTTTAATCCCTGAAGGGTTCCATGCATCCACTGGTCATCAAAATTTGCTGGATTGGTAAAGTAGCTCTGTTCACAATCATGAAGCTGGGAGTTGAGAAAATCTATAAAATGCTTTAACTCTGACCAAGACGGATCGCTGATACCACAGTATCTTTAAAGATTACAATAGAAACTGTTACATGTAAATACTACTTTGTACAATACGAACCTTTGAATTTCATTTTGGAAAAAAAGACCGAAATTAATATGAATCCTGCATATTATAGGAAATGACTGCATGACTGACAAGAGTTGTAATGCAATTGAAAAATAAGGCCTATATGCAAATCTCCGGACACTATAATTCGCTATGATCACTCACCTTATAACCAATGCTAAACACTCTGAAGGAGTTCCCATCTGTCTGCCTTGATCATATTGATATTGATCAAGACTTTGACCTCTGTCCAATTGAAACAAGTATTGAAACGCCCGTTGCACAGGTTCACTGCTGAATTCCTTGGTATCGAACAGCGGACTTAAAGCTGGAGATGGGAAAGCGTAAGCAAACTATCAAAAGGAGTATTTTAAAACATTCACACTTTATTCATTACTTGTATCATCATTCCCCATATCTAGAGCATCGAAACATTCGAAAAAGCATCAGTCTTTTTAGTACAGAAAGCATACCCAGAGGAGCAATATTTAAATAATGAATTTAACGAGGGAAAACCCGCATCAGAGATAACACAAATATAGCTAAAGAGTAAGTAGAGTTTTGAACAATGAAAATATGGTAGCTAAAATGGTCTTACTTGATATGTTTGGTGTATTGAGGAGTTGTACGGTTTGTATTGGAGTAATACAATCAGTTGTTGGCAATAATGACACAAAGGACGATTTATTGGCATCACTAGCGACCTAATTAAATACAAGCTTTATGTGAATGCACTCCCATATCTTTGCCATATATACGTGACGCTGGCAAGGGTATGGTTTYTGGCCTTGCTGTCTTAAACAGGGTATAAATTTCACCCGAAATTGTCTTAAACAGGCTCTACAATTTAGAGAAAAGACCGATATAATTTTTTTTGTGAGATCTTTTTTCACTAAATTAATGTTAAACTGATTATTTCTAATAATTTGATTATCATTAGCTAGAGAGAGGTTTCAGCTGAAAAGGGGTCTTATTCATAAATATTTTGCTTTGGACTACATATAAAACTGTTGTGTCATCAAAGGGGTCTTAATCTTTAAGACCCTTTTTAAGTTGCAACCCCTCTAGTAGTAGTTGGAAACATGGTAGAAGTAACTGGAAATAAGGTAGAAACAGCTGGAAATAATGTAGAAGTAACTTGAAAAAAGTAGAAGTAACTGGAAATAAGATAGAATACAAGGTAGGAGTACTTCCTCTGATTTCAAGTTACTTCACGTGGTACAAATTACAATCAGGGATTGGCTGGATACCTCATGAATAATCAATGAGTATGAGAAAATGACTTAAAACCCCGGGGGGACTCCCTTAAAAGACTCCCTTAAAATTTGGTAGGTATGCTCGACGGACCTTTTAGGGTCGAAAATAAAACCCTCGCGTACCTTTTAGGGTCCTGAGCTGGCTCTCTACCTATTAGGGTCAATTTTCGAACAACGGAAAAAAAATTGAAGAAGTGTTATAAAGAAATAGATTTTATTAACCTCAACAATCTATCGACATTGTTTCCTACAGTTTGTTAAACTTGAGATTTTCTCTTAATTAATAACGACGTCAAAAATGGTCGTACCTTTTATGGTCTGGAATCGATACCTGAATTAATTTTTGCGTACCTTTTAGGATCATTTTTTAATCCGTCCGTCGAGCATACCAACCAACTTTTATAAGGGAATCTCCCCCTTCCTTGGGCTTAAAACATGCTCTTGTAAATCTTTTTTTTGGCGAGTTTCTCCGTCGTTATTGAAATCTACATTTCCTGAGGTATTTGAATTGACAATAGTTTGATTGACAGTGCCTTATTTGGAAGTTCAACAATTTATGGAATTCTAACACAGAAAAATACTTCAAAATTGACAAATTATTACCGTAGGGAATGGGTTAATGTATTGTTTAATATAATCTAAAAACAGCAATATGCAGAATTTTTTTGTTTGAATGTTTGCTTATACTTCAAGTATATATAAAATGTATCAGAAATTATGGTATGTCATCACCAATATTATTTTAGAAAGTACTAGTGCTAGGCAACTTAAAAAGAATATCAGCCATAATGATAATGATATATTATATTTAAGCCTCTATTTTCTTCATGTTAAACTATAGAAGTAATAAACATACATGTAGCGTTATTTTTGAATTTTCATCATTTCATTCACTAAGTTAGTTGGTAAGTTTACTGTTTTTCAATCCGGTGTTAACAAAACGTCTTATTTACTACGGCTAGAAAGCTAATTATGGACTGTTGACGCTAAAAATCGATGTATTTTACATCACATTATCGAAAACAAGCGAATGAGATATGTTATTCGCTGTGATTATAGCTGGTCAAAAGGGGATCCACAAGCGAAGAAAATACACTGAAAAATACTACAATACATTTGTATTTGCAAGTCGTTGGTTTTACAATGATTACTGCATAAGCTTATAGGTAAGTAGTAAGCGATAATTGTTGTTTTCTTCGGCCATGGCGGTGTTTTCCGACGTTTGTTGTTGTTTTTTATCGAGACAACGTCGCCTTTTAGAGGCAAGTGAAAGATGTTTTTTGCGGCTCCGTTTTCGATGTTGAATAAATTGACTTCGAAGTTTGGTATTTCGTATTCCCCCTCTGGTTGTTTTGGAAATTTGAAACTGGACATGTGAAATAACAGTAGCTTAAAACATTAAAAAGCGAAGCGAGTAAAAAACAACAAAGCGCGGGCTCGCCATAAAGTTTGTCTATTTTGATTGCTGTTAGCAAATCAAGCCTTTGTCATACAAGGGCCTAGTAAGTGATATTGTCTAGCGATTTTCTTGAGAAAAACGAATTTTTTTACCTAATCAGACATTATATGCAAAATATGAGTAGATTTGCCTTTTTACGCCTTAACAACAATTTTCAATTTTGTCTGTTTTTTTTTTTTTTTGCACTAAGTGATCCTTCAGTTTTAATATCTATACTCTCCAATAAATATTTATAGTTTCAATTTCTTCTTGCCTTACACAACTTACATGTACACTAGTCTATTGACTGTTGTAATTTAATTTTATACCGCATGGCCAGAAAATCCGGACATATGAGCCCGAAACAAACTTTATCAATCCTTTACCTTAACATCGATATCTTTTGTCCGCTCTATGATATATAGATCAGATGATTTTCTTCTCCACAGACGACCAGTTGTGTCTTGCAGTACTCCAAGGACCACTAAATTGAACAGTACCATTCCAAGCCCTTTATTGATCTGAGAAAATTATTCTTTTCTTGATAAAGCTCTCAAATGTGAAGCACTAATTGTTAGTAGTAAGGAAGAGAGATTTGTGTGCTAGATGAACAAAAGCTATAAAGGAAATTAAGGGTATAAATGCAAAAGATGCGATTTAATCAGCAGACTTACTGAAGGTGATACATCAAGGTGAATTATCCGTGAAAGAGGAAGATTTGCATCTAATGGATGCTGCCACAATGCGTCGAGAATCTGACGAGTATCTGCCACACTGCCGTGGAGAGGAACTGTAACATTAAGCTGTTCAGTTCTTTTTCTGATCTTAGACATGCGTTCATTATTAGGTAGGCGCATGAGTTTCTCACAGAGTCTGGTTACGACTAGCGATTTCCCAACACCTGCACGTTCGGATGAAATTACTCTAACTGAAAGTCTGCTGGTACAAAGAAAAAAATTAGGCTTACTTTACACCTTCACTACAGTTTGCAAATCAAACTAAAAGTTTTCGCGTCTTTTTTGGAAAGAAGCATGGCATTTTATATATCATATCATGTCATTTTGTTTGAAAATTTTGAAATATCACACACCTATACGTATATGCACAAATTTCGGAAATACTTCCGCTGAAATAAGAAATACCACCATACCTCTTCTCATCCAGACAGGCAGCTGGAATCCATTCTATCTTTTTATTTTTGTAATATCCATCCCTAGACCTCGTAGTTGTTAGTTTATCTTCTAAATAAGATTTCAAAATATCACCAGGGGCACAGCTTAGAGTAGCACCTAGACGATACTCATCAAGAGCTGCAATAATGTGAGAGCGATCTTCATTTTCAGTGCTGCAGATGATCACGACCCTGAGTTCTGAAATAATATAGGAATATTGGAGAATATTGGTGTCATACATGCAGGACTAATTGAAGAGAGCACTGCACTCAGTTCTCATAAAAAAGGAAAATCCCAAGCATTAAAACTCCGAGGTCACAATGCTCAATAATTTTCACGGAGCAAAGGTTTTTGCTATAAAATCAAACATTAGAGGTAATATAGGAACGTTCGGTTACCTTTGATACAGCCAAACTTTTGCTTAAGAGTGTTAAACACGGCGACAGATGTTTGACTAACATTGTAATCAAGGACATCTGGATTGACTAAGCAAAATATCTGCTTATATGGGTCCTGAAATGCGCGCCACCAAAATAGCTCAACCTGTTCCGGAAAAAATATGTTAAAAAATTATTTTTCTCTTGAGAAAAGTAGAAAATTTTGCCCATTTTTGTAAGCTTCAACTTTGAATTCTTAAAGCAAAACATTAAAAAAGGCTGTGATAACTGATTATGGTTAACCTCTTCAACTGTTGTCTCAGATGTACAAAGCAGAACCTCATTTGGAGTCGGTAGACTGTTTTCTCCGTGTTGCATATACAATGTTAACACTGTAGGGTAGACATCAACTGAAAGAATAGAGATAAAACATTGTCCTCATAATAGCATGATTAAAAGTTGTTTACCTAGGAAATGATTATATGAGAATTTTAAAAGCTAAGTAGACAGCTAAGTTATGACAAACACTTACTACTTTGTACCAGAATAAGATTAGGTTGGTCATTCTTAAGGTATTCGGGAAATCGTCTTTCTGATGGTTCGTTAGCTGCACATATGCCAAACAAAGACGTCATCATTAGTATCAAAAATGCGTAAAAAGGCAAATAATTTTTGTTCACTGACCTCAGTATTAATTCACCTTAAACGCCTCAGTTTTATACTTACCTAGCGTCCCAAGCTCTACAAGAACAGTTCCAAGTTCTTCAAGAGTTAAGTAAGGATCATATTCAATGTTGACTTCAGAATTGTCTTCATTTTTACTCTGGTCGCTTTTGTCATAAAACGTACAACAGGATGTATACAACAATGACAACAAAATATATATTAGCCAGATTCCAGCGAGAACATAAACACATATGGTCTTGAAATATGATGAACTGCTGTCTGTAGCAACTAACGAAAATCCAGAAATTTTGTTTAACACTTTTACAAGATCCTGGTTGGTAATTCCACTAAGGACACTCTCCAGTAACGTAAGAACATGAAGGGGTAGGTTGGTACTACTGGCACCAGCATGACGAAGAGAACCAAGTTCCCTTCTCATTATAAGAATTTGCTGAGTAGAAAAATGGTTGAATTCCTTGTATTTGTGTCTTGTATCATGCATGCATCTTCGCCATTCAAACAGCCTTTCTTCCATTTCCTTGCAAGTGTTAGCTAGTTTCTTTCTAACAGAACAATCCCGTTCTTCAGAACAGTCAATCGTCTCACTCCAGTCCAAGTATTTCACATTCCCAGCCTCACAGAGGTCGATATAGACTTGACCAAGCCTATTTACAGCTTCGAAAATCTAAAAAAGAAGGTTGACGTATAGACTTTTGACGAAGTAGTATATATTATTCGTGGAAAGCATAATATATGAAAACTTCATTGCATCCTAAATTAACAAATACAGCAACATAATCCTAGATAGCCTTTTTAATTTTGCGATTTTAAATGCCGATGTCCACCCTCCTCTAAGAAGGCAAACTGTTAGTATATATTACTGTCATTATTGCGTACTTTACGTCCGTAGACGTGTCAGCTTGTTTAATCTTGTTGTTCTCGCGCATCCTCCACATCTTCTAAGTGTGGAAATAGATATTGTATTGTATGGCATTGTAAAGCACAAAGTGAACTTACATGACATTTACAGTGCATACCTCGACAAATCTGTTTATCTCTTCTGTGCTGTCCAAGGAAAATTTTCTATCTTTGCCTCGAAGCTGTGAAGTTTTACCTGCAATCAACATCAGTTTGCTCTGCAATGTCTTCAGGTCATTGAAGGAGTATGTTTTCATGTCTTCTTCCTCCTTACCATACTCTTTTTGCTTATATTTCATTTGGGCGTCTTGTAATCTCTCATCCATGGGCACTGTAAGCGTTAGAACTTCTTCCAATCCATTTTTGAAGTCTAAAGATTGTGCAATGTGTCCAATACGATATACACCTGAAGAGTTGATGATCTTGGTCTGCATTAAGGACGACATCTCCACAGAACCATGTGAGCTCTGCACAGCCTTCAGCCAATCAAGATGCAGGCATGATTCCCTCTATGAGAGGGACAATTCAAAAATTGTATTTTATATGACAAGCTTACAATGTATTAATCCAGTTGAAACTTTGCAAAAATCCTGTCTATGTAGTGAATTAGAAACAACTCAGTCGAGAAAATATTCGGGCCCGTTTTTTAAAGTGTTTTGAAAAACGTAAAAAATTCACTTTTCAATAGTAGTCTTTGCATAAACTACATGCATTGTACTTAGACAAACACATCTTCAAAGGAACAAAACCACCAAGGGAAATTAATACTCGATACATGCACGGTATTATCTTTATCTCCTTTAATGTAAATTTGAGATTCAGAACTCATGGCCCAATAAGGAATGTTGAAAAGCGCACAGAAGCGCAAAATAAATTATATGTTATTTGTTATATCCAACAGTTAATTTTTTTGCCTCAAGACGCGTTCAAGAAACTGTGTTTTGGCTGTACGGTCGACAGCGCAGAGAAACGCAAAAATAAAAAAATTATATATTTTCTTCGTTTCATAAAAACCAGCTAGAAGAATTTCCTTGTTTTTGAGACATATTATTATTTCTTTTTTTTTTTCTAGTAGCCATCAAATTCGGCCATAAGTCAGCTTTCTTTGAGCTCCTTCTTTCTGTAAAAAAAACCCTGTTGTCTTTGTAGTTAATTAAAAATAGATGCTCGTCTTAAAAACGTCCAGCTAAATACATTGTCTCTTTATTCAAGGAAAAATGAGTTGGTCAATGTTTAAAAATGTTGGGAGGGTGCGAACAGTATGAAGCACCTTTATGGGAATTTTTGATTTAGACTGAGGACAATAGCACAAAATACATGTATTCCAGAAGTAAATTTGTCAAACTGTGTTTCTCATTAAACTTGATATGAATAAAGTGACTGGAAAAATCCTAGCCAAACATGTTTTTACTCACCAGTTTCTCTGGAAGATGCCTATCAGATTTCAGAGCTTTCCATACTTGCTGGCAAGCTTTCATTAGATCGTCAAAGCCAATATTGCTTTCGTAAATGTCAAAAATCAGCGGGGCAAAATTAAGGCAGCTTGAATGAAAGTTTGAGATGCGGTCAACTTCTAGGTCATTTTCACCAGCAGATATCATTGCCAAGTCTACAAGGGTGCTTAATGCTCGTGTATCTAAAAATTCCATAATTAATTGTAAACAAAAATTGTGAAACTTCAAATTTATGCTCCAAGTCTGAATTCCTCTATTTTACGTAATAATAGGATGGACAGTATATATTACGATTTACAAAACTATATATCATTATAAATAGGTTATTTGCAAAACTACTGAATCGTTGATTCCGCAATGAGCAGTTTGAAGCATTCTTATTCTATTATCGGTTTGGTGATATCTCAAGCTCTCGTAGCAATTCTAGGGAATGACGCAAACCACACCTTTGATAGTTTCTCGTAACCATTTAACAAGTGGTTCACAGTCAATCACTGCTTGAAGGCAATGTGCTTCCTCAATTGAAATCCTCTGCAGGTTCTCTCCCACTTGACGAAGGCTGGAATCGATGACATTGAGTGTGTTTTCCCTGAATTCATTTGAGTTCTAAAAATTTTAAAGGAAAGTTATTACTCTTTCTCTTACTATTTTTATTGTCATTGTCATTATATTGTCATTGTCTTTGTTATTGCTCTTGCTATTGTTATTCTAAACGTTATAGTTGTTGTTGTTATTATTATCCTATTATTGAGAACTGGAAATGAATTCAATTTTTAATTAGTGCATCAAGTGTGATTTGAAAAATGATGACAGCATTAATGAAAAATCTCTCGTCAAAGTAAAGACGAAAGACAAACATCATTTCAACAATAAGAACATTAGGAGAACCCTACCTGATTTCGCAGCTGCTTTACTATTTCAAAGTCTCCTTTCAATTGTAGTGTTTCCTTGAACTCCCACACAGTTTCAGTTGCCTCAATATATCCTTGAAAGCTACGATATCGCTCAATTTGCTGCAATCTCTCGTCCATTCTCATAGTAGCTTCATTTTTTGTTATCTTGAGTGATGAAAACATGATTTCAACTTCTTTCTGTACATTTTTCAGTGTGAAATATTTGTCGACTTCTCGTAAAGAAATAACGCCATCGTTTAGCTTTAGGGCAAGCTGTTTCCACGTTTCCAAAGATGGTTGGAACACATTTTTCTGGATATCTGCCAAGGTCAGGCCCTTTTCGTCGTGGTTGTTGGTTTGTCTTTCTTTGAATGCGGACCTCGAATTTTGCATCCAAAACTTTTGGAAAATGTCACTTTTCCAAACCATTGAAAGCTGAGTAAGCTCAGATCGAAGTGAATCAGGCAAGACAAAGAGTATGACAGTGATTTGGTTCTCTTGGCATCCTTCACTCATTGAATCTCGCCTGCAAATATCTTTCATCTCTATTTCAGATATGTCACATTCATACATTCTTTGCAAGTCAGCTGTGTCGAATTTCGCTGCACAGACAAACATAATTATATCATCACATACTATCGACTAATTTATATTAATCTGATTGTCAGACTATATGAGGGTCTAAGGATAAAAAAAAATGTAGATCTAGAATTCACTCACAAAGAAAAACTCACTTTCCAAGACAAAATGTGAGTATTTTTATTTTTTGAAAAATTCAAGGTTGTCCTATATGTCCAATTTTTAAATCTAAACTGAGAATTTAAGACAATAAATCATCAAATATGCATATATGAAATTTATTTGAAACACTTTTTAATCCTAGAAAGACCCATAGAACACTTTAATGTTTATAGCTGTAACGGTACAATAATTGCAGGTTTGGGATTCCAATTTCACCTTCTTTTGTTGATCTGCACATGTTAAGAAAATTACCAACTTGAGATTTGATGTCATGAAAATATAGTAGCTCTTCTTTTCTCTTCTCTAGTTCCTTCATGACCATTTCAGCTTCCTTGAAACCTTTCGATTTTTCAGAATCCTTACCAATCTCGGTTAAGGCAGTGCAGAGCTTTATGAAATTATCTTGATGTTGATTCAAAGATGTTATAGTTTGCACGTCAATAGATCTATCTTCAATAGCACTTTGGATGTCACACAAGTGATCAACAACACTTTGTATAAGTTTAGCTGCATCTGTGGTCAATATCTTTTGACTTTCTGCTGAACCTGAAGAGGGAATGTTTTCACAAAGAATCTAAATGATAATTATAGTAAAATTACATAGATAAAAATAATGCATCCATAGCATGGATTCATCTTTCCTCAGCCACACATTTAAAATACTTTCTAATGGCTGATCTGGTGATCACCATCAGAGATGGTTTGCGTCATCTAAGTTGGTCGTACATCACTTTTATATAGAGACACTCTATATGATACTGTTTTAAAACCAGTTTATACAGTAATTTCCGGTTCCAAGATTTTCTTCAGAAAAGGGGAGCACACAGAAAAAAAATATATTCGCGAAGGAGACAAGAATTACGAAGACGTATTGAAGTGTATAAGGCCTAGGGAGCGAGTACACATCGACATGCCTGATACCCCACTAAACATAACATAATGTAACGTAAAGAATTACCAAATGATCTGATGAAAACTGGCCAGTGTTTCCATGTGAGAATGAACATTAGTTGTGTGTGGAGATTCTGACCACCAAGTGAAACTTCATCCTTCTTCCAGCATTCTATTATCATACGTGATAGTAATTCCCCAGCTCTTGATGAAACATGATCTATTAAACACTTCTTTCTCAGCACTGCAATGGAACCTTCAGTCTTTCCACTCTAAATGGCAAAATGTTTCGCAACTCTTAGAGAAAGATTATAACTTGCTAAACTCTAAAATCCTCAGTAGCTATATGATATAAAAACGAAGTGCGAAAAAATAACAAAGATTGCGATAATTATTTATTTTTATTATATAGGTGATTTCTAACGCGCGCTCTGATTGGCCAAAAAAGTGTCCAAAACTGTCCAAAAGCACTCGCTTTCAGCTCGTGCTTCTTGACATTTTCTCGTGTGTTTCAAATACCAAGCGTGCGTTTATCAGAGTATAAACCACGGCTGAGCCTTATTTATTTGTTAAATAATTATTTAAAAAACTCATACATAATTAATGAGCTACTAGGCCAATAGAATGAGCCTATTTGGTCACATGCATGGACCTTTATATCTGATAAAACACTCCTTATTAGTATTCTTTATATAAAGAATACTAATAAGGGTGACCTTTATCAGATATAAAGGTCCATGACCCTAGCAAAGGTCTCAGGTTTGAAACCTGATCATTGACCAATGCAGGATGTCAACCGATTTCAGTGAACAGCCAAGAGCGCTTCTATTTTACTTTATGCGCATTCAATGTGGGATGACAAGAGTGCTTTGTAAGGTGATTCACGCATGATCAGTTTGCCCCATTTATCTCTGAACATATTTGTACGGCAATTTCTCCAAGAATTTTAACGGATTTGAGTTTCAAATTAGTGTTGGAGTTTTTTAAGCCGTTTAAAACACTCGAGATCGTGTTTTATCAGGTATAAAGATTCTCGCCTTCAGCTCGAATCTTTATACCTGATAAAACACTCTCTCTCGTGTTTTAAACTATACATAAAACAAAAGTGGCACAATGAAAAAGTAAATGGTTTATTGTTAAAACACTATTAACCAATCATTTACCTCAATAGCTTTTTTAACTTCATTGAAGGCATGATTGGTGATAGCATCCACGATGCTTTGATTGATGTTGTCAGCTGATATATTCACTCGGCAGTAAAGATCAATAGAATCATTATGATTAAGCTGTCAATGAAATTACAATTTATAATTACCTAACAAATAATCTGAAGATCGAAAAAGAAATGAGCAAACGTGGCAAAAAAAGATGTCACCTTCTTTAGCCTTTTGACGAAGTGAGACAAAAGCGTTTTGCACCATTTATCTTTGAGCTTTCCATTCAAAGAATCAGTTTCTAGATATGTGGTCCAAACCTGAAAAAGACCGATCAATCACCTCAGTTAGAAGTTGACTTACATCTATAATTCAATATCAGTACATAGTGATTACAGCGTTCTGTTTACCTAAAAATGAACACATAATTCGAAAATCTTCCTTTCTTTCTATTACTTTAGATAGCATCCACTCAACAAAATTACTGTTATTTATATACCATTATGAAAAAGTAAATTAGAAAATATACCTTCAGTTCCTCTTTCTGGCAATGCTCATTGGGTGAGAGTTTAGAAGGAAAGCAATTTTCTACTGAGGTCTCTATTGAATTGGTGAGACTGTTGAAAATGACATCGCATTCCAGGGTCTGAGATCCTGAGGTAGAGGTTTCATCATCAAGTTGTTGTGCACTTGACAGAATAAGACTTACAATCTCTACACAAAGAAACATTGATTTGCTACACGTGGAGTCTTTTTTTACAAGCTCTTCCGCCAGAAAATATGCTGATTTGGCCTGACAGTTAACCTCTGAATCAAGGTGTTTCCTCCTAATAATTGCAAATAGCTGAATGTTACACATTTTAATACAAGAGATCATCTTCACAAAACTACCGCTATATTTTTCCTTTTTCATGAATTATTCTATTAGACTTCTTAGTATCTTGTTTACCAACACCGTGCACGACAACATTTTTGTTACTGACGATGGAAATTGCAATTTGAGTGAGCTTAAAAATTCTCTATGAGATTATGAAATGAAATATTTCAATATTGGTTAAGAATTTTTGTGCAATTTGAAGAAATAGTCAAAAAAATAATTTTCGTTCTGTTCATTCAGATGTGACTAGTATGGCTAAAAGAATAGTAAAACAAAAGATTGTGAAAGTTCACGCTTGGAAAAAAGAGCACAAAAACCTACAGCAAAACGAGGCATCGTAACCATTTCTCTCAACAAACTATGTTCAGATGAGAAGTAATTCAGTAAATCAATAGCTTTTCGAAATTTTCAGGATCAAACTGTCCAGTCTGCAATCATACCAATATAATTTTAGAGAGCATATTCCATAATCATTTGCATGGACTGACCTTTGACGTAGCTCCTTTTTAAGCCTCTTAACAAGAACGGACAAAGGTTTCTCTATCAGTTTCAACTGCAAACATAAAGAGGCAATAATTTTGAAACGTTTGAAAATATGTACCGATATGAAGGCATTTGCTACTTAATAATAACATTTACCTTGGAAGTTAATGACGACTGGTCTTCATTTTGAATTTTAAAACCCAATGCAGTGCAAATCTCATGAATTGGAAATTCATCCTGGATGCACATCTTATCAAAGTCTTCAAATGAAACATTATAGAGGAAAAGCCTTCGCAAATATGGATCCAAAGCAAACATCGGCTGTACTTTGGAGAAGAATGCTTCAAACAATCTGTGAAAGAAATTCATACTAATTCTAAACTTTGAACTAACTAATGGATAAGAAATATATTCGTAAACATCATAAAAATGATTTTGATTTTACATAATTTTAGTGGAATTGAATTATAGTTAATAATACAACAATTAGTTTTTAGGTAATTATGATGTATTATTTATTTGTAAATGCTAACAATACTAAGGGCACAAAGGTCATTAAAGCTTGCAAGCCTTTCACGTGCACGCAGTCATACATTTCATCCTATCATTGCCCCTTAATTCGCACAATGGTGAGATAAGACTTGCATAGAACGAAAGATATTGATAAATACAAACTGTCCGAATTTGGCGTCGATCAGGTCAATATTAAACGATTTACAGCCTTTCAAAAACGCTAGAAATTCCGAAGAAATGTATAGAATGCCGGACGCTGCGTTCGGATTTTTCTAAATTCCCATACGTTTCTTTGTAAAATCTAGAATTTTTGAAAAGGTGCCTAAATTGTTTAAATTTGATCGGATTAACACCAAACTTTGTGAGTTTTCTATTTTACAGTGCGACCTTTTGTTCTATATAATTCTTATTTCATCAGCGTGCGAATTAAGGGACTTGTGCCCATTCTCCCATGGTATGAAATCGGGCAATAGCCTGTCCTTTCCAACTGTCAATCATGTCTGGTTAATTTTCTCGCTTGTTTGGTTAGTAGCGCTGCCATACTGAGCTTTGAAACTTAAGTCTACAAACGACATTCCCTCCCAACCACCCCTTTGTATTGTATTATTGTATTATAGAGTTAGCATAATTACCTTCTAAAGATAATTTGGGAATCATAATAGCTTATCGTTTGATTATATAGTTAAAAGGGTACTGTTGTTTGGGTTGTCTTTAGCCAATGTCAATTTAGCATAGTATTTTTTGAAGCGCCTTTCTGGCTCAGTGCCTGATTTTTTGTTAATTTGCGATTGTTTGTATCCAGTAAAATGCATAATAAAGTCATGGCTCGGGATTTTAAAAGTGCTCCCGTGCTGGACACACTATCACCCATAGACTCATGGTAGCGGTTACTGTGGGGATCGGTACTCCTATATCATGCTATATCTATGTGTTGCCATAGGAACTGGTGGGAACCCGGAGGGAGATTATGACCCTTGATAGAGAATTATCATCTCTTTTTGTCGCCCAATACTAGACTCTGAACAAGTTGTCATGTCAGCTATTTTCGCGATTAGTGTGCTATTAAGCCAAAAAAAAAAAATACCTACCACATTACCCAACAAAGTGTGTCTCTATTATTGTTGTCTTACGCTAATTGATTGCTAGTATTAGCTTAAACTAGAATAATCTAAATTTTATAACTGATTATGATTCACGGCTTGCCTTTTGCATGGATTAAATTGAGGAAGACCTTCTGAATGGCACCATCTTTCAACTGATTTTTCAACATCACTGTCATCATTACAGTGGTCAAAAGGCTTGGTGTCCTTTCGAAGAAAGTGAAGAAGTGGGACAGCAAGGATGACATCTGGACAATAAAACTTTGTGTTTCCATACTGTTTTAGAGCTGCAGCATTCAATAGATGGGCAACAGACTTGGAGAGGTCCCTGTGAATTAAAATGAAACTGATTCACATGCAATCTTAGGCATAATATGGACTTGGAATTTCTACGTGGGGGCTTTTAATAATGCTACAACTCTTTATCTTTGAATGAAATCCATTTCTATTTAATTTTTTTGTTTGTTTGCAAATGTGTATTCTACAGGTACTGCTCATTAGTCCAGTCAAAATACAATTTGACCTAGAACTAATTGCAACAGAAGGTTTCTTTACATAATCTAACTCAGAAAAGCATCTAAAACAACATACTAAAAGTCTAATTCAATTGAGGCATGGGAACTTTGTTAAAATTGGACTCATTTATATGTATAACATGAAAGCGAGGCTGAGAAWCGGGAGTGACTGTTTTTGACCGTTTACSTGGGGTCTTTTAATCAAAACTTGTTAAAATAATTAATTTGTCTAAAACAAAACAAAAACAATACCCAAATCACTCGATTTGACAATATGAAGTAGTAAGTATATTTATCTTCAACTATAGCATTTAGTTTGAACAGGATGCTACAGGCCGATTGTTGCAAAATACATACAATATCACATTTGTTTTTAGTTCAACTTTTATACAASCTAGCTTTATTTCAACAGCGCATTCAAGAGTGATAGGCTATCTACTAAATAGCTCAGGGACGGATCCAGGGGTGGTGATTAGGGTCACAAGTCACCCCCGTTCCTCTTCGAAAAAAAAAGCAATAATATACTAGTAATAATAGAAACTTAGACTAAAACGATACAAAATTTTTTATTCAAAAACAATAGAATCGAAAGGCATATTTTGGTTTTCAAAAAGATAAATTTAACACCGTAAAAAAAGGATGTGAAATAACTTACTGACGTTTCGGACGTTAATCCTTATATCACCTTTTTTACGGTGTTAAATTTATCTTTTTACGCAAATGTTTCTTTAGAAACACCGACCCAGCTCACACTAGTTTACCGCTAGTTCTCACTATTTTGGTTTTCGAAGAGTGGATGAGGTCATTCCATCATACAATGACTTTCCATTTCACATCGATGTGTGGTTTCAACGTATATACGCTAACGTCTTGCGACTTTCAAAGTTAGTGGGATCTTTTGTCTTGAGGAATGTCCACGTGTTTGTCAAACACATATATAGACACACAGAGACAACGTTCAAGCAAATACAGTTGACGATTATTGGAAATGTAAAGTTGCAATACCATTTTTGAACATTTTTAGGAATGTAATCGAAGAGTTAAAGTCAAGATTTAGCAATGACAAGATAAATTTATTAGTCTTGTGCCCGAGCTGATCAGAGAGAAAAAAGCCAAAACGAAGTGGAAGAACTTTCGAAGATTCTAAAAGAAAAATGAAACTGATATTCTAACAATTGCGACAGAATTTGACAGTAAGTTTTTCAGATGATGCAATTACTGGAAAAGGAGAGAAGAAAGAAGATCAACCAATAACAATAGGAGGGGGACATTGGGGGCCTCTGAATACCGCAATACCGAAAAAAATCAAAAGTCCCGCATTACCGCATGAAAAAATCGAAAATACCGCATACCGCAAAAACGAATATGGYGTTGCAATTTAAACATAAGTGTGATAAAGCTAATAAACCTACTAAATGGCTTCTCGTAGTTTTGTTACGCTTTTACGTTCCTCCGCTCCGACTTCACAGAGGAATTTGTTTTTCTTTCTATAATGCTTTCCTCGTTTTCCTTCTTCATAGAAGAACGCCACGCATTCTATAATTACTAGGCTGTCARACATACTTCGGAGTATGTAAGTACGATAACGATGTCACAAAGATTAACGAGAATGACCAGGTAGTCCAGAGAGGTCATATAGGTCAAATTACATGATAGAAAGGTCTGTGATTGGCTGTATGGATTGTGAATCATTTTTCTCGCAATACCGCCATTTTAAGCGATTTTTCCCGTAATACCGCATCTTAAAACTTCAAATACCGCATATCGCACAAAATACAAATCMCGCATTATCGAATTTATTTTGCCAAATTACCGGAATATCGCATGAAAAAACGGTCAATCCCGCAATCCCCCAAACCCCAATGTCCCCCTCCAATAGCGTTAGCGCAACATGCCGACCAGATCTTTTGCCCAATGTACGCGAGCTATTGAAGATGTCCTTCCCATCGGAAGTGTCGAGGCTGATCGTTCTTGCCTTAGACGAATCTATACTTGGCTGAGGACAACGATGACCACAGAGACGCTGTCAGATTTAGCGTTTATTGCCATACATGGCAATGCTATTCCCCTAACCACACAAGAAATATGCCGGGCATTTATGCAGCTCCATCCTAGGAGAATGTAGGAGCCATCGCTTTTCTGCTTATCTGTATCATTTTATATTAGTTTTGATGTAAAATAGTTGTTACTCTACATAGAGAACTGACTCACTAAAAAAAACGAAACAAGCAACAAAATACCAAAACTATCTTATGTAGCTGCTAGAGTGTATGCTGCATTGATTAATAGATGGAAATATTGAATATTAAATAACTTAACTTTTTCAAATGAAATACTTGTCATAATTAGTCACCCTCCTTCCCAAAATCCTGGATCCGCCACTGTAGATAAGCGTATTACAGTGATAAATGTCCAATGAAGTAAACAACTAGTCCTTCGCATCCGTTGTCAACGGATGTGAAGGAGACTAGTAAACAACCAGTATTTGAACAAACATATCAGTTTTTGACATGGATTTCAAGGCCTACAACTCATTGCATATGATAATGACACTGCCCTTCTCATGGAGCTTATTTTTTGGTGTGTTGTCAACGTCCTTTTAGAAAATCTTACACTTTGCGATTGCGATTCTCTGGAAAATGAAACAATTGTCTGATTTAATACGATTTAATGTGTGATTTACATGCAGTAACAAATTCATTTAAATTCACATTATTTCAGATGCTTTTATATTTCATCGAATGTCAATAATAATAATTTAACAAAAAGAAAATAAAAAAGTCCTACCTTGAAACTTTAACACAACGATTCATAGAGATTCCAGAATATTCTCAGAGCTAGCTAACTAGTGATCACAAGTTTTCTCATGTGGCTCATGTGTAAAAATAGTCGTCCGCTTGGTTTAATTGACAACCAGTCATGTCTAGTTTAGTGACAAAAGATCACCAATCGATTATCATCAAGATTAGTTGAGGCAAAAAGTTTTTTAAATCAGTAAAAATACACAAAAAACTTCTAAGCTTAACTATAAATTATTGAAAATTTTATATTATGGGAAGTTATAAGTAGACAAATGAATATCCATGAAATTGATACCTGGACGAGGCCCTACTTTATCAACGTATAATAAATCGCAATATGCTAAAAAAATGAATAAATATCAGTCTTGAACTTACAAGAAGACACTAAAATATTCTAATTTAACTTATTCTTAGCTTCAAAGTCAAAATAAAGCAATATTCGAGTGCATTGAATACAATCTTTTTTTAGCCTCGTTTCCATGCGCACTTCCAATCAACCCAAAAGATTCGCATTTATAACGATGTTCCCCTAATTAGATTTTTATAGACTTTTAATATGTTATTAGTCACTTGTTTCTGAGTCTAAAACCGTTGAGAAACCTTCTGTTGCAATTTGTTACGGGTTGAGCCTTTTTTTCCACTATTTTGACTGGACTACATTGGAAATGCCTTAGTGTCAGAAAAAGGAAATGCCGAAAAGTATGTAGGATACTATTTCTATTACGGTCAGTGGTAGTACTGGTAAGTGGCTCTTATAGCAGTCACGTTGAATTGAATTCCAAATAAGGTGCTGTCAATAAAACTGTTTCGGATTTCAATTCCCTAGGGAGCATTAATTTATGCAACACCTTGTCAATTTAGGTCAGACCGTTTGTTTATCGAGCGGTTGAGCCCCTAGGCTTGCATCATTAAGCTTGACTAGTCGGGAGAGACAATCTTCTGGAAGAAATCAGAGGTGGAAAGCGATTTTTTGAAGACAATGGCTCCATGTCACGGTTTTCTTTGAACTGGAGACATCAGAGTAAGATCGCTTTCCTGGTCCTTTTCGTTGTGGCAGATTTTCGAACCTACCAAGGTAATTTTGGCAATATTTGTCATCCAAAGAATGCAACCGGCCCGATTTTTTGCCTGGAGATGCGGGGGTGCTAACACTTACAAAAAAAGTTCTTTAAACAAGAATGCTGCACGATGTCCAAATTTTTTGTCTTCCAATGATGCATTTCGATCGTGTATATAAGTTTGTTCTACCGGGTCTTCAAAAGAGGGCTGTTGTGAAGTCTGCAGTGAATTTGACACAATAAAAACGTCGAAATGAGGACGTTCTATCAAAGGGGTTTGCAAACCAAGTGGACTTTTTGCTAGGAGAACATGTTTTGACGCTACAAAATCAATCTATCTGGATAACATTCACAGTTCCATCTGAGTGGTTGAAACTCTCTATAAATTGCATCTTCAAAAAAGGAAGTCAACAACTTGCAAGTAATTACCGTGCTCTCTCTGTTGGGTCTAACATCTCAAAGATTTTATCCAGAATAATTGTAACACGACTTAAAGAATGCTACGAGGAAAATATCTCAAATGCACAATTCGGTTTTAGACAGGACAGATCAACAACTGATGGGGTATTTATCATGCGACAACTTTTAAAGAACACTGAAGGTTCGATCATTGCATTGTATATTGACTTAACTGCAGCATTTGACAAGGTACCAAGACACATAATGTATGAAGTTCTGAAAATCAGAACTGGCTGCAAGAAGTTGATTGATATTTTATGGTTACTATAGACCCCTTGCAGTTCATGGGAATGCAGCTCCAACTGGAGGACAAAACAATAGATTCTAGTTCCCAAGAGGATAAAAATCTTTTGTTTTGTCCTCCAGATGAAGCTGTTTTGACGTCACATGCAAGGGGTCTATATGATGGAACGACTGGGAAAATCTGTGGTGATTCTAACGACTTCCTTATTGAAGCAGGAACCAGACAGGGTGGTAAAGAAAGTCCTACAGTATTCAATTGGTACTTTGATTGGGTTCTAAAAGTAGCTGCACATGAAATTGATCAATGTTTCCCTAATGGATGGGGAATTCAATATTCATTTACRATTCCAAACGCTTGCCACCAACGAAATACTGGACGGATGAATGGAACTGAAATGGTTAAGTGGCTACTATACGCAGACGATGCTGTAATTTTCTCAAACGACGTGTCCAGCTTACAGATCATCTTGGATATTCTTCACARAACTTGTACTAGATATGGTCTGCAGATTAGTACCAAGAAAACAAAGACCCAAGTATTCAATRATTTTGAACTTATGAACAAAAACACCCTATTGAATGTTTCTGGAAAAGAGATTGAGAATGTTAAGAAATTTAAATATCTGGGACATATGATTTACAGCGACACCAAAGACTCGTCTATTCAAAGTAGAATTATAAGTGCAACTGGTAAATTTCAACTTAAGAATGTGCTCAAAGACAACAGAGTAAARATGAAAACAAGAAAGAAAATCCTAGAATCTTGTATACGATCTCGACTTCTTTACTGCTCTGAAGCTCAATTACCAAATGAGGATGAACTAAAAAAACTAGAAACGTGCTGGTTTGGTCTTCTAAGAAGAATGATCAAAAATGGATGGAAGAGAAAAAARGATAGTGATGGTGAAGAGACCTTTGCCTTAAAATATAAAAACTCTGAGGTTGAAAAGATAATTGGTACGGCACCACTAAGAGACTTCCTGTATGTTCGATATTTGAAATATATCGCACATATTTGCAGACGAGGAAACTGAAATCTAACTAAGAAATTACTATTTATTAAGCCGACAAGGAAATATATAAGAGATCCGTGGATCAAAATAGAAAACCTGTTGAACATTGACAAACATCAAGCCATAAAGTGTACAAAAGACAGAAAAGCTTTCAAAGGACTACTTCTCCAGAACTTTAATTTGGATTAGAACATGTCCCCGCTGACTAGCTATTGCTAAAAATAGCGGAACAAAACTGATACTGATACTGTTTCCTACGAACCTTCAAACGCAAATTTTGGCATTCATTCCAAAGAAGAGTACTGTTTTGCGTCTTTAATTAGTTTCTCGTTTTGAAATTCTTTCAACTGTAAGATCGACAATATCTACTAGTAAGTTCATACGAGCAATTTCAGGGCTATAGCTAACTATTTCGGTAACTTATAGATTTTAGACACATAGGTCGAATTCCACCTAAATTTCAAGGGGCAGTCGGGAAAGAGTTAATACACAAAAAGCTAAACCCATAACAGCCACATCCATCAAGGAAACAACTGTTTCAATAGCTGGATCATCCTACCCCCAAGAGTCTTCTGGGAACTCCAAGTGAATATCATCAAAGTCGCATCTGTCGTTGCCATGTGTCTCAAGTACAAAGCAATGAATGATATCAGTAAGTTCTGCACAAGAGAAATCTAAATCAAAGACCCACACCAAGTTTGTTATGGTAAGACTTGATATTAGTCGTCTTCTACGATCGTCAGGCGTTTTCAGCTCATCTTCTTTTAAGCGTGCATTGTGCGAAATCTTGGGTGTTAGAAATTCTTTTAAAACCTAAACAATAAAAAATGGTAAATCAAATATTAGATTGTTTGATTTGCTTTACAGCTTAAGGAGCATCGGCAAATACAGATAAACCTGATAGGCAGTACCTGTACTTCAAAAACAGCGCCACACTAAGGTAACTTTTTTTTGTGGTATATTTATTTTATATATGTCCATTACCTTTTCAAAAGGAAATTCTTTGGAAGAAAGAGTCTTCTCTATTGGGTTGTTATCAATGGAAATCCACTGGTGTGCTAAACATTCTTCAATTTGTTCCATCCTATCTATAGCCTCTGAAGCAGTTATTTTATCAATTTGCTTTCCAGTAACAAAACCTTCCCACTTTGGAAAGAAATGGACGGCTGCATGTTCTCTATTTTTTATTGCTTTGCCTTGGTCCAATTTATTCTTTAATCCAGGTACCCAGTTCTTAAGATTGTTCCATCTAGAATTACTAATGTCTCGATAGACAACACCATCATATTGATGCCAAACAGCTGCAGTATGAATAGAAACACCAAAATATTTTAAAAGCATCAACAATAAATTCTACAAGTGCAAAATTTGTTCTATACAGTATGAGACAACATCTCGTCTGAGTTAAAATAAGCTAAAGTCTGAAGCGCCTGCGTCTGAAGCTAGTGATGCAAAGTTTGTGCTAGAAATTCGAGGGCTTAACGACGGCAAAATATTCAAGTCGATTCTCCAGTAATTAACATATGAGTCATGACCAAATCAGATCCTTACCAAAATGCTAATACAAAAATTAGTAGCTCCTCTAGCAATATAGAAGAAAATGATTATCTAGTACTACTGGGATAGCCTTAGTAGAGGTACGCTGTTTTGTGTAAACACAACATCTTTTGTTGACATGCGAACATATTTAAGTGTATCATATTTAGGTTAGCTCAAAAATTTTATACAAAAAAGAAAGACCAGGGGAGTATGTTTACGAGAATTTGCCGATTGATTTTGTTCAGTTGGACGAAGTTATTATAATAACACTGGGTCTGCATGCACATAAGCGCCAGAATCTGCACAGAGATCAAGGATATGAATTGATACCTAATAAAAGTTATATAAACTGTTTTTTCAAATCCAAAGTTATAGCACTAGAGGAAATAGCTGCCTGAAAGTTGTTTTTTGTCGCACAAAAACTTCTCAACGGTCAATCTTAACAAACTCAGTTGGTGTGAATTCTCGTCATTATCAGCCCGATCAGCTTAAAAACACTGATTTCAAATCCTAAAAGGGACAACAAGAGCCCCGAACCTCTTTTATAAGGGAGTCACTCCCGAAAGCAGCACTTGCATGCTTCCTTACCATTGGGATGCATATCGTTCTCCGGTACAATCAAACAACGATTAACTATTCTCTCTGGATCTTCTTCAAAGTACTCTGAGAGTTCCAGCTCAACTTTTCCACCAATGTTAATCACAGCATACTTATAAGAAATTGGTTGGCTAAGAAGCCTGACAGGAAGTTGCACTTTACCTTGCACTTCTATGAAATTGCCCTTTGCTTGCCTAAATAAAAAAAAACAATGAATCTTATTCTACATAGATCCATGCATATAAAAAAAATGCAAAATCATATTTTTACTAAACTTTCCTTATGTGTAAGGAATAATGATCGTCGCAGTAAAATTTATCTGAGCAATTATTGATAAATATAGATGGCCCGAAAAAAATATTGATAATCGCTTAGATAATTTTCATTGCGACGATCGTTATTCCTTACACATTTATTCATCGCATTCTGTGCCATCATTTCATCCACTTTCATTAATAAATTAAAAGCGTAAGCAGATAGTGTTTTTTCTTTTCACTCAAGCAATAGTTGGGCAGCCTATTCCCGTTGAAGCTAGTCGAGTCCTGGCCCCCTTTCGACCCGCTTCAGGACTCGAAGGGAAAGAGCTTCGTGACCTCGCGATTACCGCATAGATGTGGTAAAATGCAGCGACTTTATTTTTATTTCCATTTTTTTCACGTCGCAGTTTAGCAATCCCAAGGGACCCAGATCCCAGGTTCCCAGGTTCGATCCTCTTTCTTTCTTGTTTTTAACTGAAGAAATAGTTCTAGTCATGTTAGTTTTTTATCGTAGCAATTTGTTTTATTAATATTTACGAGCCGTTTATTAAATTACAGAATCAAGACGATACTCGAACAGCCGCGGCGTCGAACTGAAGATCGCGGGTTTGAATCTCGACGCGAGTACTTGTTTTATAATTATTATTTTCGAGTCGTTATTTTGATTTTGCACAGAATGTCATACTAGAATAGCGTCGAGTTTAGGATCGCGGGCTCGATTCTCGACTGATCGATCGCTTCTAAGTAAGGCTTTTTTCTTTCCTTCTTTCTTTTTTTACTGAAATATACTTATTCTAGTCATGTTTATGTTTTCAGGTAGATATTAACAATTTACATTTTCCCCGAGTTGAGGCTAACCCTGTATTCCCAGAAGGTTCATACCTTAGGTCTTATGGGAATACAGGGTTAGTCTCAATTCCGGGAAACTGCATATGTTCAAGGCTATTGTAAAAACGACATTTTCTCGTGCTCTCTTTTGTGTTTGATCAGGTCTTTGCGCAAGATAATCTGTTGTCAAATAAAGCAGCGTTTTTTCCCTATGGATTCGAAACTGGAGTATTGATGTCACAAATTATCGCGGCCAATTTCATCGATTTGAACGACTTATTGCCAGCCAACTTGAACCCTGTCTTGCGACCGAGTGCCGATGTGACGACGTGACGGCAACCGGCAATTAGAGAGGAACCTTTCTAATCGTGCTGGTTTACAAAGGCCACTATCCAGTCATCAATCCAACATTGACATGGTTGATGCTTTGTCTATATAGCGTATGTACTATGTTAGTTTCATTGCTTCTCTATGTATACACCCTTTTAATAAGTCCCGATGTATCGAGTTSTCCGCACTTGACGTCAAATTTATTCTTTTGAAATTTTTACAATACAAAAGGAATTCAAAAGAATAAATTTGACGTCAAGTGCGGAGAACACAATACCTCGGGACTTATTAAAAGGGTGTATAGAACTTTTAGACTCGTATGCTTTATTTGTCTACTATGCCGCGAAAACTAATACGTAGACCTAGCGCTTCTAGTCGGCTTACGCTCAGAACTTTATATCTTGGACTCCATTGCGACAATAGTGGGATGGATTTTTCGAAAAAAATTACCACGTCTCCGATCTCATCCACTATTTAGACGACTTCGCTACATGTGGTCTTCCGGGATCCGATTCTTGCAGGCGTAACCTCGACATGATTTTACTGACAAGTTTGTTCCCGCCTCGGCCTCCCCCCTGCATACTGACAAGTGTGAAGGTCTAGCAACTACCTTGGTAGTGCTGGGAATCAAACTAGATTCCATTAATAGCATTGGCCGACATTGCCCGGAGCACAAGCTTTCAGCAGCTATATCAGAACACAGTCGGACGTTTTGGCCGCGGCATCGGCGACGTTAAATTTGTAAATCATTGTTATTTTGTTTTATTTTATTATTTTTTATTTGATTTAAAAATCGTTGTTTGGCGGTGGCAATCATCATCTTGTCTCATGTTTTTTGATTGCTTGAACTAACATCGGGGGGTAAAAGTTGGTATCATGGTAACAGGTCACAGAGCTTCCCAAGCAAACTTGATCATCTTCTGGTGGTGAGCTGTGGCCCGGTTGCCATGGTTACCTTCTGATGGGGTATGGCCCGTGACTGACAACTCGTGCTCATCCGGTACCTAGCCCAAACTCATTATTGTCGATGAGTTTAAAAGGCCTCCTTTTCATATAACTTTAATTTCAGGGCTTCTGAAATAGTATTACGAACTGTAGAGAGTATGTTCTGGTAATGTATGTGGTGAGGTTTAGTTTCCAATACAGTAAGTGGATTTTTCATGCTCCTTAGTCCTTTTTGCATCCTTTTGGGAGGTAAATCATCAAAAATTAAAATAGAAATGTCTTACCTGGCATCAAACATATCTGTACAATGACTCCAGACTCCAACTTCGTTGAGGTCTAAATATACAGTAACATTCTGTTTGTTCAACTGAAAGTTGAACTCAGGTGACAACAAGGCATAAAAAACAATAGTGACACACTCTTCCTCTTTCCAGTTAGTTATTGGTAGAGAGGTCACATGATGTGTGGTGCGTTGAAGTGAATGGTTTGTTTCCATGAGTGTGGAAGACTTTGACCAGCTTTCCGTGCATTGTGTGGTTTCCATACTGACATCAATATCTGACTGTTCTTCTATGTTTTCAGGCTTTTGCTGATCTTGAATTCTATGATTAAATAATAAAATTTTCTGCTGAATAATTATGAATGCATTATTGTAATGTTTTATGCCTTTTACATGACCTCAAGCAAAAAAATATATATAAATGATAGTAGTTAATCAATTTTAATTAATTCTTTAAAAGAATAATAGTAATAACTCTTTAAGAATAATTATAATAAAATGAGTAATTATTTAAATTAAAGTTCTGAAAAGAGGTTGCATTCTTATATAACTTTTGCCCATGCCAGAGTCAAAACTTTGCGTGCATTTCTTGTGCAAATTACTGACAGGGGGTAATCAACTTTCTGTTACTATTGCTCGCATCATGCCGAAGTCACACATCGCTCAAAAAACCCTTTTGTCTCGTGGCTTCTTTTGCTCGAAGAACTTTAGAGAAGAGATCATGACAAGTCGTCTCTGTACATAATTGTCATCTTTAAAACAGATTTCCCATCGCACCTTTGCATTCCTTTTCGGTACCCCAAAACACATCAATCAAGCTCAGCATCATGCTTAACCGCTGATTTATTTTACAACAGATTCTCTTGCGCAAACCTTATCATAGACAAAAGATAGTCAAAGACTTTCCACAACAATCACTTCACACACGCAAAGGCACAACATAAAATGACGTTCCAAGAGGCATTCAAAGAAGTCAAGAAACAGTTCGAAATCAAACAGCTTCTTCCCGAACAAAAAGAGAGAAATTTGTTTGTGAATTTGCCTACAGCATAAAGAAAATCCTTGATTTGCAACTGTCACAACCCATCCCATAACAGGGGCTGATCCAAACATTTTCAAGAGGGGGAAATTTACTGATCCAAATATATTTTAAAAACACTAACAATATTTTTCCGAGCGTAAACTTTTCATGATCGAGATTCCCAATATTGTGACGTGTGTGTCAAAAAAAACGCAATAAAAAATTGTTTTTTGTATATAGAAAATCCTTGATTATATTTCACAGACTCCGTTCGAAATATATGAGAAAACAAAGGAAGAAAAACTATCCCTACCCATAAGCCTACATGTGCCTATATCGACGTGGGACCATGTATATGGCTTTTTTCCTTGTGCTTCAAACCATCGAAGGTAAGTTTGTTTATATGCCACATTTTTGTCCAATTTTTTTAACCTTCCACAGTTTTGGTCTCTCAAAAAACCTCGAGGGATAACAAGGTGTTTATATTCGTCTTTTAGGAGACGTATTTTATTCATAAAATGACTAAAAACGCCACGAAAGCGATCGACATCAACGAAAACGAACAACGCAATTTTAAAGACTCCTCCGTTTATAGAAAAAAGGCTTTTACAGCCGTCTGTTTGTTGTTCCCAAAAATGGCGGGACTCTGCGCCCGGTGATAGACGTGAGTCCTCTCAACAATTTTGTTGTCAATCAACATTTCCAAATGAAGAACATAAACTGTTTAAAAATATTACTGTTAAAAGGCGACTTCATGACAAATTTAGAATTAAAAAACGCCTACCTCTACGTTCCAATTCACCCCAAATCTCAACGGTTTCTCCGCTTTATGTGGAAAGGAACAAGCTATCAATTCAAAGTTCTCCCGTTCGGCTCTAGCACTAGAGTTATGTGAGTGGTGCCTAGCGAAAGAAATCCTCGTAACGGCTTCAGATATACCAGGTCTGGAAAACACCATGGCAGACACGGAATGCAGTGAATTCAAGGATATGAGCGAATGGAAGCTAGATGCTTCAACCATCCAGCCATTCCTAAAAACTTGCCGGACCGATCTGTTTGCCAGTCGTCTGACACATCAACTGAAGAACTACATCAGTTGGAGACCCGGGGGGTGACTCCCTAACATCAAAGGGCGGAGGTCCTCGGCGGAGATTGTGAAAATGACCCCTAAAAGGGACCTCTATTGTGAGATGATGGGCGTGGCAGTGCTGAAATTTCAACCCTAAAAGGGACCAATCAATAACAGGTCATTTTGTTTTGGTTTACCGATTTTATTTGTGTTTTTACACAATCATCGAACACCGTCGGCTCGTATTGATTTTATGACAACGTTGCCATTTTATGACTGCTTAGGGTCGCCGTATACCCTAAAAGGGACCACAAAACACAGTTGGTAGGAATTCTTGTCATRATCAMCCHAARCRGGACCAAAATACTGATTTCAAACCCTAAAAGGGACGCCGAGGACCCCCGCCCTTTGACCGAAACATTTAATAGAGGGACTGCTTAACGAACGCTTAACATATTACGCTCTGAAATTTCTTCGTCTCACCCGAAGATAGATGGCTATCTAGTAGGCCAACATTCTTACGTAATTTAACTACTAAAGGGAGCTCTACAGACTCGCCCACCTCAGCCAAGATTACTCACACCTGGAATGTAAACCTTCTTTTAAATTACATTTTATCGCTCAAGAGGAACAAACTCCTAAAACTAAAAGATCTATCCTTTAAACTATTGATGCTTTTTGCTTTGACTTGCCAAGAATGTACTTCTTCTTTAGCTAAGTTAGACCTTAGATACTCCACCCAGATATTCCACCCAGAAGGTGTCGCCTTCTCTCTAACATGTCCAAGGTTGGCTGGTTTTTTTTTTTTGTTTTTTTTTTAAGTTCTTGAATCCGCCATTATGGAAATCTATTATCGAATGGAAAACCTCTTCCGTCACGTGATTTCAAAGTCCAATCACAAGCGGTGGAAAACTATAACTGTTTTATTGGCGTGTCAAAAACGTATAAATAACTAGACACATAACTGCGTGAACTCAGGATTCTGCTTGATGATCTGCTAGTGAATCATTTATACATTAGTTAAATTTCAGTATATCCATAAATTTGTATCTACTTTTGTCGTTTTTTTGATAAGTTTGCTAGTCTTGCTATTAAATAAATTTAAGTGGGACAAGGCTGAGTTTTCAGCTTTGCAAAGCTTTACAGCTAATAAGATCTGTGAATTGTTGTTAGCTTCCTAATTTTAATTGTTTACTTAGAAATCGTGTTGGTATGCTAGTGCACGGTGCTCTCACGAATACAACATATTAGTATATAAATATTTCACTTAAAAAACTCAGTCATACATAATTAATGAGCTACTAGGCCAATAGAATGAGCCTATTTGGTCACATGCATGTACCTTTATATCTGATAAAACACTCCTCATTAGTATTCTTTATATAAAGAATACTAATAAGAGTGACCTTTATCAAATATAAAGGTCCATGACCCTAGCAAAGGTCTCAGGTTTGAAACCTGATCATTGACCAATGCAGGATGTCAACCGATTTCAGTGAACAGCCAAGAGCGGTTCTATTTTACTTTATGCGTATTCAATGTGGGATGACAAGAGTGCTTTGTAAAGTGATTCGCGCATGATCAGTTTGCCCCATTTATCTCTGAACATATTTGTACGGCAATTTCTCCAAGAATGTTAACGGATTTGAGTTTCAAATTAGTGTTGGAGTTTTTTAAGCCGTTTAAAACACTCTCTCTCGTGTTTTAAACTATACATAAACAATATTATCAGCATATTTATTGTGGTTTCTGCATAAGCTTGTATAAGCTTGAACAGTCAAACAAATAATTTATAAGATCACTATTATCAAAATCACTAAACGATGTGAGAACAGTTTTTGAGTGTAGTATTCGAAGAGTTGGGCTAAAAAATACTTCGTGTAATGAAAAATAATAAAAAAGCAATGTACTCAGCATTAATATTAAAGAATTGATCATCAAGACGGTCTCAATTGATAGTTATGTGGCCTCCTGTAAACACAGAGTCTTCAGTTCATCAATTCTCCGCTTTATATACCTCCAATGGTCGGTTTTTCGTCAGTAGAACTCTGTTCGCATTCAGATAAGTCCTTTGTAGTTTTAGAGCCTATATAACCAGTTAGTATAGAGTTCGCTTTTGATAAGAGAGGTAGCTTGTTTGATAAACGTACAATTCACGATAGGCAGTATCATCAGTTTCACGATGATTCGCGGTATTTCTTCAAATTCCCTTTCGAAAAACGCTCGACATCTTTTACTGTGGCTATACCGCGAATGGTGTGTGGATTTGTAAGTGATTTGTAAGTGATTTGAGCGTATTGAAGTTGAATCCATGTCCTATCGTTAGCCACCATAGAATAGCACATGGAAGATGTGAATGTCATGTGAGAGGTTTAACATTCGTACCCAGTGCATTAGGCCGAGAGATTTTGTGGTCGAAATAAGGAGACGAAGAAGACAACCGAACTCGGGATTCCTTTGGAACCCCGAGTAACTAGCTCCGCACCAAATGGTTCGAAATTTCTTGTATGACAAGTCATCAACCAATCATCGACCGTGATAGAATTCAAATTGGTAACAGCCAATCAGAAATCGCTTCATATATCCTTGCTGGTCAGCTGGGGGTCGAAACAAGGTTTTTGCCGCTGTTTACCAGACGGACTTAACCGTCGCTTGTCCGGATGTGACAAAGGCTAGATTAAGATTAACGTATCTTTGACTCAGTTAACTGCCACAGCTGAGCTTCTCATTGTCATACAGAGCAGGAAATCAAATATTTATAACAATGATTGATAATGAGATATATAATAGTACAGTGTTAATTGCCGCATTTCGATTCTTTGCACTTCAGATCATCAAATAAGAAATAATCAAAGGTTTAACTACTAGGGAAGATTACTTATTAAACTAAATCAATCCTTGATAACTTTTGCAGTAAAAACTCTATGCAATTATAATCAAAGTCTAACTTTACCTTTGTTTCTTTTTTCCGATATCATAATTGGCATTGCCGCTTTTTTCAGAATCGCCACTTCTTTTCCTTGAACTACTTCCAGGAATGTTACTGTCATCATCGCCTTTCTCTTCCCCAAACTATTAATTTTAGCATGTAAGATCAAATAAAAAGACTATTTTAAAGAATTGAAAAAAATGTGCTCTAGGAATTTACCAGTATATACATTCATCTTCTCATTTTTCAGTTTAAGTATTATTTTTTGTAGAGTTTCTCAGTTTCCGCTGCTCTTTAACGTTCGTTTTGCCTTTGTTGAAAAGATGAAATTATGCTAATGACCAGCGCTCATTTTGGCAAAGGATTCGCTGGCTTGCTGCTGTAAACCTTTCCCACACGTCACCAATACTTTCATCACAGAAACATGTCCTACGAATTTAGTCTTGAAAGATAACCACGTCTTTTTATTCAAACGAGACGACCGATGAGCTTGCAATTTTAGATACCAAGTGAATTCGAATATCTTTTATCGATAGACAAGGTTGTTATCATTGCTCGCTCACTGGTCGACTCACTTCGATGCAAAGGCCTGGTGCAGGCAAGACAGGGATCTGTGAACTGAGTAAACTACGCGTTCTAATACCTTTAATTTTGGTGTTTCTGTTTGTTTATCTTCAGTTTGCATGCCTTCCTGTTTTCTGCTTAAATCATGGCCTGGAGGATAGCAAACTTGTCTTGATTGACTCTTTGCCTGGCTTTGTGGAGTCATATCGCTATCTTGTTCTAGAGGCGTCTTTTCTGAGATACCACTAAGATTGTCTCTGTCTTTTGTATTACTTGAGACATTATTTGAGGATAGCAAGCTTGATTGAATCAGTGATTGTGATTTATCATGCAATTCAGTATTTTTGTCTGAATTGTGTGATGTCTCATGGTCCAAATCGATCAGGTCAACTGGAGCTTTTTTATCTTCAGTGCTTTCTTTGTCTTCGCCAAGTAGATTTTCTACTAAGTCAGCACTACTCGTAAAGGACTGATGTGATTGCTTTGATTGTTCTTTGTTGTTTTCAGCTCCTTGACTGACTTGTGCTAAAGTATTTTGTACCTCTAATGAACTGTCACTACATTTGGATAATGATATATGTTCTTTTTTTGGTAAAGTACTACTTTCTGCTGATGGTAAGACCGTTTCATTATCACCATCTATAATGACTCCTTGTTTTTCACTGTTAGTCTGATAATTTGTTCTTGCATCAGGTCTATCAATATCACAAAATGCAGTGCCTGTAGCGTCTTTTGGTGATTCCAGACGAGTAAAACTCTCGTTATTATTTTTGCCTGCAGACTTGTGTGATTGTGTTGAATGATCATGTGCTGTTTGCCTCTCAGACTCATTGGAAATTGGATTTTGAGAGTCTTCTTCTGAACCTTTTTGGCTTTCTAACACTTCACCTTTTGCATATTTTTCTGTAAAATTGAGTATGATAAAAATAAGATGTAGGTTGTATTAGATCTAGAGGTATTGACGACCTTCATAATGGCCGACACTAATTAGCATATTATTGCTAAATTCATAATGTTGAAAAAAGAGGACACTAAGTAAATAGATATCAAAGCTGCTAATAAACTCTTAAAGTTTCAGAGAAAAAGTTTAAATCCTCTTGACGTTATAAGGTTAGAAGAAGCAAATCCCTTTATTCTTGTCTCTACATAACTTTGTTAGTATTTGGTACATAACTTTTCATGAATACCTATTTCTAATAGTTCTCTAATAGTTCTTCCATATGACAGGGTTGAATGCTTCCATAATATTGTCAATTGTATAAAATCGATGGTGGGCACTTATGAAAGTAATTAATCAGGCTTTTAAATATTTAATAGCCGTATAGTGTCTTTAAGTAAGAAGGCTATAAGGTTATTTTAATTTCAGTATTAAAGGGCTACTTGGACGAAAAATTTGAATCATTAGAAAAGACTTGGAAATCAAATAGACCTATCCATATGGGTCTAATAATCATGAAGCAACAGATTTAAAGAAAGATATTGATGCAGATCCTCAATAATTTGGGCAAAAAATGTTGGAGTTGATGACGTCATTTACTCCATCCTTTTGTTCTTCCATCTTTTGAATCAAAATTTATCTGATGTGGGATAATTCCAAAACAAATATTTTCCCGCAATTGTTTTTAATAGATATCAATGAGTCATATATTTGTATTGCTTGAAGTTTTGAAATAAGGCCATTTTCATGCAAGTAGCACTTTAATATCATTTGTATATTAATTTTACATTGTATTAATTTCTGATGAATTATTAGTCGAGCTAGCTTGGTCGACTTTAGTTTTTTCTATCCGTTTACATTATGTCGCGTTTGAGCTAAATTACCCATAAAACATTGCCGGTACAGGTGACGTCATCATAACTCTCCATGACCCATATACCGTTCTAACCTAGTACGCCTCAATATGGGTCATGCGAATGGATAATTATTGCATTTTGACGTCATTCTATTGCTACACAAAATTCTTACATTACTTCTAAATATTCCTCATCTAGCACCACTAATCACTCTAAGAGTGTCTAGTTTTATGTTTAATTGAGAGAGTTCTTTATCGATAAATGAATGCTGAATGGATGGGAAAAGTATTTAAGTTTCGATAAATAGAAGGTGGAAAATGGATTAATGGGTTAAAGAATTAATGAATGAATGAAAATTTCATGCCGGAGAAAGTCTGAGAAGCCTCCACAAACGTGGCTGAGGTCTAACATGACTACGGACAGATTACAATTTATAGCTTATTTACAATGTAGCGCGCTGTATGTAATCGCAAAGAATAATTCGTGGGTGAACATCGACACACGGGAAATTTTTCATGCTTTTATGGGAAAGCATTCAAGGAAGATGGCAGAGTCTTCAATTTTGGGATCTAGACGCATAGCTGCGTGGGTTCTGCTTGATATCTGCTAGTGAATCATTTTTATACATCAAGTTAGATTTTTTTCACGACAATGCACCATGGGCGAAAAAAGACATAGTTGACATGTTTGACGTTCAGAAGTACATAACCAGAAGTGTCCATCTCCCCAATAATATCGACACCATCAGATGTCCCGATAATCTATTTTTAGAAAACCAATCACAACGCGCGCAACTTTAGACTACTTTTTTGCACGCTGTTTTACATTTTTTTTTATCTTTGTCTGAACTTTTCCCTTGTTTTCGCAGACCATATTGCTCTTGAACTTCATTCGCTACATTGCTCATATAGTAAAGAATGTTTTCTATCAAATTCAGAAATGGTTGTTCAGCAAAAGCTGTAAAATTCTCGTAATGCAAACTTCACTTCGTTCGCCTCCATCGACTATATTTTCCTTTTTCTTGTGCGCTCTTGAAGTAAATCAACAAGGACCAATCAGGTGCCGTGTAATATGTGCGCCCGTTGTGATTGGTTGTCTAAAAATAGATTATCGGGACATCTGATGGTGTCGATATTATTGGGGAGATGGACAATTCTGGTTATGTACTTCTGTTGACGTTACAATGGGATCCTATGACGACGCCGAACTGACTGGCCTTTACATGTTATCGAAGCGACAGTAACAACAGAAACGACAAAAGAAACATACGTAGGGCTAGCCATTTAAACTGTCAAAACGAAGAAACGAAACAGAACTGTCAAAGTACATCTGGAAATCAAAGAGGGAAAAAAACCCTATATCATTAAATGGAAAATAATTAAAAAACGTTCAACCTTACAACAACATAACCAAAAAATGTAATCTAATAATGTCTAAGCGAGAAATTTATGTTCCTTAAATAGACGAAACGAATTAGCCAGCCCATGTCGAACACAGAAATAGATTCATACTAATAAGAAACCATGTAATATAACTCTACCGGATGCAATATTTTTTAAAACTACCAGCAAACTTTAAACCGGGTCATTCATTCATTGTCAGAACTTGCCTGACGATTGTGGTCATACCTGATGGCCATACGTAACAAGCTTGTAGCAATAAAACAATGAATTATTCTAGTCTTTACTATAAGTAAAATTTTATTTTATGCAATGCTCCCTGACAAAAGTTGATGTTTGACAAGCTCTATCATTTGTACACCGGTCTCACATGATAGTCACATGACACAGTCTTTTATCTTCTCCGCTTTATAAAATACTTCCAATCGTCGGTTTTTCCTCAGTAGAACTCCGCTCGCATTCCTTAGATAAGTCTTTTATATTTTCAGAGCCTTTAAAGTTAGTATGTAGCTCGCTTTCGATAAGATAGGTAGCTTTTAGATTATTAAATAGACAATTCTCGATTAGACTCGATCGATAGACAGTAAGATAAATTTCACAATAAGTTTCACGATAAAGTCGCGGTATCTGTGGTGCTATGTACCACATTTAAGATTATATTAAGATTAGATTGCCACATTTAATTACTTTCAAACCATTCACAGAGAAACAAAATCCAATAGTTTATATCTAATACCTATATTTCTTGATTTCGTAAAATTGATATTTTCACTAGTGTTTTACGTTGCTACAGCAACACCTTTTGAATCGAAATTGTTTGTATCAGAACAGAAGAATCTGCCACCTGCCACAGCGCATTGCCGTTTGGGAAAGTCTTGCCACAGCATATTTTGCACGTGATTTCACTTTCGAGAAACAGCCACTAAATATTATCAGAAACTACTTTTACACGTAAGTAAAGAATTCAATTTAAATTCAAATTCCATTATTACCTTCCGATAAATCATTATTGCCAGTGCCTGATGGTATTTCCAAAGCCTTTGATCTTAAGTTTAGATTATCAATCCGAGTTCCGTCTATTGTACGATGAAGAGTAGCTTGGCAGTAGGGACAGAATGAAGGGAAGTCTTCTGCTTTCTCGAGAACATGAAAGAGCTCTTTGACCTGTTCTCGCTTTGTACAACGTGAATTTACACACTCCATAAGTTCAAAAGCAAGCAGAACTCATTCATATCTTCACATGAACTCGCTCGCTTAGTATCTCTTCGACCAAACTAGCCAAGCGGGAAATTCCCGGAAAACCGGAAGCAGGGAAAGGTTTTCACAACCTCGTCCCCAGGGCCATCTCGGCCGACTCCTTTTCAAGATGGCGGTCGTCGGGGAGATGACCCTGGCGTTGGCTGGAATCACGTGATCAAAACCTCCAAGATTTTTGGAGGTTTTGATCACGTCAACCTCGTTCCCAGGGCCATCACGGACTCCACAAAATGGCCGGTCGTCCAGCGATGACCCTGGCAAACATTGATTATCACGTGATCAAATAGTCCACGATACATGGACTATTTGATCACGTGGATATCTATTCAAAAATGTGTTCGCAACGTAAACCCAACGTTTTTAATCGGGCTAGCTGTGGTGGGTCGACATTTTGTTTATCTGACTGAACAAAAACATTTTAACTTAATTGTTTATTTCATAATTTCCATTCAATCGGCAATATAAGTAAAAGGAGTAGTTTCAG